AGCGCCACCGCGCTCCCAAGCGGCGCACTGTAGCAGTGCGCCACCGGGCTGGCCCCAAAGATCAGACTCTTCTACCTTGCACATAAGGCCAGTTGTCATCTGTCCCCAACCACTGCTCCCATCTCATCCTCTCTCCTCCCTCTCCCTCACCCCCAGAGGCCCCCCAACCCCTGCAGAAGTCGCCACTGTATATTCCACGTTATGCCTTCCACACGCTCTGGTACCTCTGACTGGGGTGCCCCTCCTCCACCTCAGCCCAGCGAACTCATGTTCATCCCTCAAGGCCCAGCTGGGGGAACACCTCCTCCAGAGCAACCCTGGAGAGGCAGAGGACGCCGGTGAGGGCCCAGGGGCTGATGGAGGGCAGCGACAGTCGTGCATCCAGCTAGGTGCTCTGCCCGGGAGCACAGGGCTCCTGCAGGCAACGCCTCTCAGCTGTCACATGGTCCAGAGTGCCCAGCACAAAGATGCCCACCAACCCCTGGCCCTCTCAGGGCCTCAGTCATCCCACCTGTCAAGTGGGCACAATCATCCCCACCCCATCCAGCTCATTGAGGCCAGTAGAACCAGCAGCACTTGGGAAATAAGGAGTCAGTGAAGGCACCAGACAAATGAACAGGGTTGTTATTAGACCTGGGAGCAGGGTCAGAGGGGAAAACGGAGCAAAAGGGTGGAGTAAGTGAGCCTGGAGGGACAGAGAGGTGGGTAGCGGGCAGGAAGAGCAGCACCTACACGGACGGGGGGGGCTGGGTCCCGGCTCCACTACGGACCAGTCACTTCCCCCTGGGACTCAGTTTCCTCACCTGTATAATGGGGGAAGCACAGTCCCTGCTTGGCTCCTTCCAAGGGCCTCAGCGAGGCTTCAGTAAGGGTAGGTGTGGAAGAGCTTTGCAAACTGTAAAGTGCAGTGCACACATGCAGGCTAGCTGCGGTTCTGGGACCCAGGCCCAGCTGGGCCCTGGGGCGTGGGGACAGTGTTAGCAATGAAAACGCTATTTGAGGCTCAGAGTCCAGTCCTTTGAGCACCCTCAGATCCTCAACACCTGTTCCTCCTTCCTCCTCCCCCCAACTTCCCTGGCACCCTTTACCCTGAGGTCACCCAGGGTTACCCTAGAACATGACCAAGGCAGGCGCTGAGGCCCGGGGGCAAGAACAGCTCCTGCCCTGCGTTGGCCCTGAGGCAGGGGCCTCATCAGCCACATCCTCAGCAAGTCCCCACTGGTGGCCTCTGCTGCTGGTGATTAGCAAGTGGGATTTTTGTGATTAACAAATGCAGTCCTGAGGGTGGGGAGGGGCTGTGGCCCTGTGCCCCCTTTTTCCAGATCATCACCCTTTCAATGGGGTCTTATGTGCGTCTAGGTGAAATCTGTCCCTCTGCATGGCAGCTCCATTCCTGGGTGAGGGTTAGAATGACGGGTGGTGAATTCTTCCTCACGTCACCTAGGAGGTCCCTGGCCAGGGGTGGAGAGCACCTCCTGTCCCTCCTGGCCTGCCAGCCTGGCAGGGGCTGGCCATCCCTCCTGGGCTGGATCCTAGCTCCAGAAGGGGGTGCCACGGGAGAGCCCCAGTGGGCCACTTCAGAGCAGCGCCTTGAAGAGGAAGGAGAGGGAGGCTCCGCAGGAGAGTCCCAGGGCCAGGAAGAAGGTCATGAGGGCGCCAGCTACCTCCTTCTCGTGGGGCAGCACCTGCCTAGAACACAGCAATAGGGGTCTCAGAAAATGCTGGGCCCAGCCCCAGCCCCACAGACCCCTGAGTTCTGTTCAGGCTCTGACCCAACCCCTGCGTCACCATAACTGGGCCCTTCTTTCCGTGCTTCAGTTTCCTGATCTGTAAAACGAGGCTGCTGGACGAGGATGTCTCAGAGCCCTTGGGGTCCAACATCATGGGATTATGATTCCACCGCCTTCCTTCTTGCCTAAATGTCCCCAACCTGGTTCTTGCTGTCACCTTTACTCTCCAGATTCTCAACTTCATTGCCTCTAGAAGAAATAGCCCATGAGCCCTGGTTTTGATCAAAATCTTGGTTCCCCTTCAACTGAGGATTTTGGGGCTAGATGGGCCCTAAAAGATGACAGTCCCACCCGTTTATTTTACAGATGAGGAGACTGAAGGCCATAGAGGTGGCCTCGGAATCAGTTCCTGGGCTGCGTTACTAAGCAGGTCCCTCCCTCCACAGTGCAGCGCTCTCTCCCCAGCTCCTGGCCTGGGGCCAGCCCAGCAGTTACAGCCTCACCCACAGGGTGGTGCCAGCGAGGCCTGGGGACAGGGCTGGGCCCTGCTGTCCTTCCTCAAAGAGCCAGCCCACCTCCCCACTCCAATCCCCCACCCCCACCTCGTCCCCAGACCTGGGAGCCAGGCACATGGTGAGGGACACCAGGTAGCCATTCGAAACGGCAAAGAGCAGCATGAAAGTGATGAAGTAGGCGTCCTGCGGGAAGAGGACGGGCAGCTGGGACCTCTGGGGCACGTGGCACAGCATGAAGAGTGGCACAAACAGGAAGCGCAGGCAGACCAGCAGCAGCAGCAGCCGGCTGTTCTCGTCTGGCTGTGGCAGAGGCTGGCATGAGCGCGGTCCCTGGGGCCAGGGCTCTGCTCCAGGGGCACCTCGGGATACCCATAGGATAGACCCATCAATCACCCCATGACCTCCTCGGACCTGACCTACCCTATGAGCCAGGGAGGGCCCAGTACTGGGGCCTCTAGGGAATAAGGGATTGGTCCAAGGCCACCAGCCATCACAGACTGGCCTGGGGCTAGCCTCTGCCTCTCCTGATCTCTAGCTTTGCTCTTTCTATGGCCAACTGGGAGAGGCCTTGGACAGCATCTGTGGTTTTCAAACTTGGTTCCTCAGAACATCCCTGGGGGGTTCCACAGTTTCCAGTTTCTGAGTGTGACTGGAAGCTGGAGATCAGGTCCCATCCTGACTTGGATCAGAGCAGCTCCTCTTTGATCTGCTTTGTTATGTTTCCTTGGAAGATTTCATTTAAAGAAACAGCACTGTGGCTAAAAGGAATCCGAGAACTAGGAATCTTGTCCAGTCCCTCACCTGGTGCGGGAACCTCCATTTAACATTCTCTGAGCACTGAAGGCGGGGCCCTGGGCTGGATGCTGGGGACACAGAGGTCTGCTGGACATGGCTTCTGCTCTCAAGGAGCTCACGATCCAAGCTCTGGCTTGCATACCTCCAGGGGCCAGGTGCTCACTGCCACGTGGCCAGCGGTTCTGTTGTCAGACCACTTGGACTATTGGAAAATCACCTTTCCATGCTCCGTCTCGCCCTCTGGTCCCAAACTGCTTCCTAAAACATCAGATCACCTAGCCCAGGTGTGCTCACCCACAGGAAGTAAGAGGTCAGGCTCCGTCCCAGCCAGTCCATGACGTTGAAGAGAAGGAAACAGCAGATGGGGTTGAAGAACTGACCTGGGAGAGAGAGGGCTGGCGGCTCGTTCTGATCCCCAACTCCCCTCCTGTCCCCTCTGCGCCCCCTGCCCTTCCTCTCTTCTGCATCACAACACTCACTCCACTTCCCAGGACCGGTGGAGCTGGTCACCATGGCTGTGATCGCAGGGAAGACAGGGTGACTGTGAAGACCAACACAAGGCACAGCGCTGTCAGCCAGATCTGGGAGCCAGAGACAGGGATGTGAGCAGGCAGGGCAGTCCCAGGGCCTGACACTCAGCCTCCAGCCCTCTTGCCCAAGCCCTGCCCAGGAGCAGGACATCTGGGCCTGGTTCAGCTGTGTCCCTGACTGGTTATGACCCTATGACCTTGGGGTAGACAATGTGATTAGCAAGGCCCCATTCCATTCTAAGAATCCCGGTGAGGGCTGGAGAGAGTGTCCCTCTCTTTTTCCCCAGGGAGGGTGGCTGGGGCTATATCCAAGCCAAACCTTCCGGAAGACAACAAAGACTGAAGGTTTTCCTGGCTTTCGGGGTTCATCTGGCTCCAGCTCTGGCTCCTTCTCAGGGTCAAGATCCAGAGTCAGGGCTGCCTTCTGGGGGCTGTTGGGAATCCCGTTCTTCTCATCTGGGCAAGAAGAGAGGGTGGGGTTATGCCGGTGACCCTGGTTTTCCAACAACCAGGCCCGGTGGAGGGAGATTCCCAGCAGTAAGAACAAGCGATCTTCCTCCAGCCCAGGGTGCAGGTAAAGGAAATTAATGATGGAAATATGCATAGCTACGATTTATTAAGCACATACATGTGCCAGGCAATGAGTTAAGCACCTTAGATGGCTTATCTCATCACCACTGCTTTACAAATGAGAAACTGAGGCCCAGAGAGGTTAAATGACTTGTGTAAGGCCACAGGGCTGGGATGTTGTGAAGCCAGGATTCAAACTCAGATGCCTTTGGGTCCAGAGCTTGTATGCATGAAGTTCTACTGCCTCCACATTTTATAGAGGAGGAAACTGAGGCCCAAAGAGCAGCAGGGATGCCTTTAATCCTTCTGACTTCCCTCTGTGATCTTCTGCCTCTGTTTGCACAAGGCTACTAGGAATGGGGCACTAGTTGGGGAAACACTTCCCAGGGGAGGTAGCTCTAGCATCCTTTGGGTCTCCCACCTTTGCAACTGGGTTCTGGGGCTTACCAGACTGGAGGAGCTCGGCTTTGGTCTCCAGCTCGCGAGCTTGGGCCTGCAATGGTTTCTCGGCCAGGTAGTAGCGGGCAAACCTCTGCAGAAGGATAGGAAAGTGTCAGCCCTGCCTGGCTTGACTGGGGTGTCTGGATCCCTCCCCACACACACCGAGCTTGGGCCTGCAATGGTTTCTCGGCCAGGTAGTAGCGGGCAAACCTCTGCAGAAAGATAGGAAAGTGTCAGCCCTGCCTGGCTTGACTGGGGTGTCTGGATCCCTCCCCACACACACTGGCTTAGAGGCTGGGGTCCCCCAGTGGTTGACTCCTTTGGGGATCAGGGGTGAGCCCAGGTCTCCTCTGCCTCCCCTGGCCTCTCTCAGGAATTCGGACTCAGGACTCTGTCTGAGAGGCTCTGAGATGGGGCCTCAAGCACAACAACGTGCTCACCAGATGGGGCAGGCTCAGGTAGCACACGATGGACATAAGGATGCCCACGCAGGGCGTGATGAAGTACCCCAGGGCGGAGGTCTGGGCGTCCACGCCACCTGCGACAGAAACTTCAGCTGCAGAGGAGAGGTGGCTGGTCCCACCGGCCCCATCAGGCCTGTCCCACTTCCCAGAACGCGCTTCTCGATTCACCTCCCAGAACCTTCCACACCTTCCTTCACTGACAACCTTGGAGATCTTGTACAGGCGCCACACCAGCCCTTTGCTTCTCACACTTTTCCCTGTGTATCATTTTTGTTGAGCATCTACTATGTGCCAGGAGCTTTCTCTTACTGCATGCTCATTACCATCTGAGCAGGGGGCTATAATAATCACTTAGGTGGGGAAACAGTACAGGGAGGTTAAGTGCCTTGTCCAGCGCCCCCACTAGTGAGCAGTGAAACAGATTCAAACCCAAGTCTGTCTGAATCCCAAACCTAACCTGCCACCTGCCCCCGTCTCAACCTTAACTCGCTGCCACACACCACCGTTGGTCCCAGGAATCCCCCAAGTTAACCCAGTCCTCACCCAGTCACTCTCCTCACTGTGGGGCCCAAGAGCCCTGCTCCCCAGCCCCGGACCCACCCCCACTTCCCATCACCCCATCATCCCCATCTCTACCCAGAATCCAAGCATCTCACTATCACACGTCCTTCTGCTCTCCCAAACCCCAAAGGCCACCCCAGCCCTCCAGCCACCCAAGTCCACTCACTGGCCATGGACATGAGCATGGCAAGGGCAGCAAAGATCCCAGCCAGGCCCTGGCCGCTGAGGAAGAGGGTGCTGTAGGTGGAGGGCATGGTGCCCAGCTGCCCGAAGAGGCTGCCCTGCAGGACTGCACTGAAGGCTGTGGAGAGATGGGGTGGGGGTCACCGCTCAACGAGGCAGGCCTCAGGGGCTCCCTGGAGGAGGCATCAGCAGGGTGCATAGGGGACTCTGGGCCAGGTTGGGCAGGTGTGAGCTTTCCTAGGGACTCTGGGCCCTCCAATGACTGCCTAGAATGGGCACTCTCCCCATTCATTCTTCTTCTGAGGGGCAGCCATTGGTCTGTGGGCTGGTGGCCAGGATGCCTGCTCCTAGGTCACTGTGGGGCCTGGGACAAGTGGCTTGTCCTCCCCCTCTGGGCTTCAGTTTCTCCATCAGGGATATGGGTGATAATGATGCTGTCTTCCTTTCCTGGATATGTTGGGCCCTTTCAGTTACAAAGAAGAGGCTGTGCTGAAGGCCTGGGTGAGCTGGCTGGGGGTGGGGCGGGGCAGGGGTACTCACAGTTGATGAAACAGACGGAGGCCATGGTGATGGCGAAGAAGGGCCTGGGGCTCAGGTCCACCTTGACCAAAGCCGCCGTCAGGGCAAAGAGCATCAGCATGGCCAGCAGGCTGCCCAGAATCCGCAGCGCCTCAGGGATGCTGCTCAGAAGGGGGCAGAGTGGCACCCGTGGGGCCCAGGCCGGGCAAGAGGTTCAGCCTGGGGCTGGGCGGTCGCCGGGGGAGCGGAGACAGGATGGGTGGTCTTCCTGGGCCAGATGAAATTGCCTCCACAGGTGGGTGGGAGGGGCTCTGGGGTGGGGGTCCCTGGTGGGGGGAGGGTGGCTCTCACCACTGGTACAGGAAGGAGTTGAGGAGGGTGAAGAGAAGCAGAGGCAGCTGGGACAGCAGCGTCACCCAGTTGTTGAAGTTGAAGTTGTCTGCAGGGCCTGTGTGGTTGGTGCTCGGGGTCTCAGCTGTGGTGTTGTCCGCTGCCAGCCGCCCCTGGAAGTACTGCGAGATGGGGAGGTGGTGTAGGGTCAGGAACCCCGCAGCCTTCCCCCTCTGTCTCCCCCGATGCTTGTGATGGCTTGGTTAATGTCTGTGGGGACTGTCTGCCTTGTCCTTGTCCTGTCCCCAGCACCTGGCACACAGGCAGAGTTCCCCGGATGTCCTGGAAGTACTGCGAGATGGGGAGGTGGTGTAGGGTCAGGAACCCCGCAGCCTCCCCCCTCTGTCTCCCCCGATGCTTGTGATGGCTTGGTTAATGTCTGTGGGGACTGTCTGTCTGCCTTGTCCTTGTCCTGTCCCCAGCACCTGGCACACAGGCAGAGTTCCCCGGATGTGCACTGAATTGAATGGCTGAAGTCTGGGACAGAGCCCAAGGCTTAGGAGCCCCCATCTTAGGCCTTGCTCCATCTTTGGGCAACCCCTCCTCTTCAGGGCCCTGGTTCCAGCCCCCACCCCCACTCTTGCAGCATTTTCTAGATTCACTCATTCCGTGGGTATTTATTGAGTGCCTACTGTAAGCCAGGCTCTGGCCTAGGTGCTGACCAACTGCATTCTCTCTGGAACATGCATCTTGTTGCTTCTCTCCCACCCACCTCCTCCCACCCCCACCCCTCACCCATGCCTCCCTATTGCCTGCAGAGCAAAGCCCCAAGTCTTTGGAACAGCATTTGGGGCCTTCCAGAATCATTCCTGGCCTCCCTTTTGTGGCCTGTTCTCCATCCTACTAAGGTTGATGCACCCCAGACTTTGGATCTTTCTCTGAACTGGCTAGCTGTCCCTACTTCCATGCCTTTGCACAGCTGTCACCTCTGCCTGGACTGCCCTCTCCTCCTCTCCTGACTGGCCCCTGCCCACCCCCATGTACACTTTACCTTCCCTCCTCCCAAGTAACAAATCTCCTCCCTCCCCTGGGGACCCCCAGCACTCTGTTCCAAGCCTGAGATGGCCCGTGTCATGTTACATTATTAGTAGCTCTTTGACCCCCACCTTGCTCTCATGGCCAGGGGCTGATTCATCTTTGGGACTCCAGGGCCCAGTGCAGAGCCAGACACTCAAGAAGCATTTGGAAAATTGTTGCATTGAACATGTATGAATAACCCAGTCCCAGAGAGAATGCAAACCCCACATTTGTGCCTTCCCTTAAGAGAATGAACACTCCACGAGGACAGTGCCTTCCTCCGCTATGTTTCCTCCTGTGTCCGCAGTGCCTGGTCCACAGTAGGTGCACGTTAAATGTTTGTTGAATGAATGAATGTAATTCTTGCTATTTCAAAGAAAACCAAAGGCTTGCATAATCCACTTTTGGAGTGATTGGCCCAGGAATAACGACAAACAGGAGGTGGGTGGGTAGCTCCTTTGCTGGTTCCCCAGACCCCCTGAACTGGTGGCCTTGCCCCTCTGGGATCTGGGCATTCCTGAAGTTTGGCTTTTCCAGCCAGAAGAGGGGCATCCCCCTCTCCGAGGCTCTGTGCTTCAGCCCACAAATGGGCACAATGAGGAGTCAAAGGCGACGTGGCGGGGAGGACGGCGGTTGTGACCCGGGCACTGCCACCGAGGCCGCGAGTCTCACCGGGATGGCAGTGATGAAGAAGTTCCAGGGAAGGAGGGTGCCCAGCCCCAGGATAAAGAAGCTGATCCCGACCAGGTGGTAGCTGTGGGGATCAGTCAGAAGGTCACCCCGAGGACGCACCCGCCTCGGCCGCCCCTCCCACCTGGCAGCCGGTCCCCTCCGGAGAGGGGACCACAACCCCCACCCCCGGCTCAGGCGGCCGAGGGACTCGGCTGCTGGGACCTGTGGTTCGATCCAGTCTTCTCCGAGCCTCTGCGCGCCCACGGCCACCGGGATCGCCCTGCGCAGCCCACCCGGTCCCCAGGTCACCTGTCCCGCGGGGCGTCTCCTCTCGCCATGGCCGCGGCAGCGGGGTGCGCCGGGGCGGGAGGGCGGGGCCGGGTCTTCCGAATCCGAGTGGCGGGAGGACGGGAGCTGGGGAAGGAGCCGGGGTCGACTTCGGCGGGTCTCCAACTCCGCAGGCTCGGGCCTCGGCTATTTAATTGAAACATAATTGATTGTACATATCTGTGCGGTGAAGAGTTGAATGTCCATACCTACATGCAATATGTGATGCTCAAATCAGGATAATTAGTATATTCAGCGTTACACAATGGGATCATTTTCTGTGGCCCTTTGCCAATGTCTTGCTAACCTCCCCCCCACTTTCCCACTGTGCCCATCCTTTTAGTCTACCCATGAGAACTTGGAGGGCATTGTGGCTTCTGACAAGGCTCATTAAGTTTTCCACCAAAATAGACCTAAGGGCAGAGAATTTGCATCAGGAGAGACTGGGTGGGTGGCATAATCTGAAACAGTCTAACACAATAGTGACATTTACTGGGTGTTTGGTGTTTCATACTAAAAATCCACAAACATTTTGCATTTTACTTGACAATATATCAGTGCTTACTTTGTAAAGAAATGCTATTTAAACTCTGGTGCTGAAAATGTGCTCCATGAACCAGGAGTTTGGGCATTCTTGGGAGCTGGTTAGAAGTGTGGAACCGTGTGCTTTGCCCTGGACTCCACAGCTTAACGGGCTTATTTCATGGGTCAAGCTGTCTTCTTTTCCCTTGGGATGAGCTGTTTAGAGGGAGGAGTCTAGTGGCCCATCCTTTCAGTCTACCAGTTGAAAGTTTGAAAAGCACTTTGGCTGAGAGGAGCCCCCAGGGCGAAGGGTGGCCGTGGGCGGGAGCCCGGGCTCTTCCCCGGCGCGTGCGGCGCCTTCCCCCCGCCGCCGTATGTGCTTAGGGACAGCAGCGTGACTCTCAGCGGCCCCACGGCACGTCGCACATACTGAGACGCACCCACCTCCGCTTGTGTTCTGCGAAACACTGAAACGATCGTAAACCGTTGCAATTTCGAAATGAATCTGCTCCGCTAACTCGTAATTTACCGCTGGGTGTGGTTTCTGCGCATCCACCGTGCGCATCAGGGACGCTGAAGAAGTGAGTGGCGCTGTGTCACCAGTTATTTTCCCAAGCATTGGTATTTTACAGCCGTTTCCAGGTCACGGGTGTTTGTCCTCCAGCCGACCGTGAGTCTGTGAGGCGAAGACGGTGCTCGTCAGTCTCGCCGTTTGACTGCGAGCACCTTGCGCCCCTGCCTGGTGCTTGAATAGATGCTCGGGGGTGAATGGGTCGCAGTGACGTGCCGGTGATTTTAGGGAGAACAGGGACAGCACTCATTACATCGAAAGAGAAAGTTACTCTCTCTTTAATTTTCTTTCAAGCCTTGGGTGTATATCAAGGCGGGAAGCCTCCATTTGGTGCTAATACTGGCCTCAGGGCATCTGCTGACGATTTGGTCTAAATACAACTTAATAAGTTTCATTTTTCCTACATTTATTTTTATAGTTTATTTTTAGGGCTATTCATATTGCTTTCGTATTTATAATAGTGATATAAACATCTCTTTGAAAAATCCATCTATTTATGAAAAATGAATCATTTAAAGAAAATAAAGTATGTAGGCCTGAAGGTGGGCACAGCTATGGCACAAGTTTGGGGGGCACTGCGGGTGTTGAGGCGATGAAGGAAGAGCTTGAGGACGTCTCAGGGAGAGAACAGCCTGTCCCAAGCCTAGGGACAGGAGAGTGCTGACACGTTCTGGGACATACAAATAGGTCCCTTTGGCTGGCCTGGTGGGAAGAGGGGGCAGAGTCTCTAGGACAGCTGGGCTGGTGATGGCAGCCGGAGAGCTGAGTGAGGAATTTGAATTTCATTTCCAAGGAGAGGTTCTGAGCTTGATCAGACCCAGTCATCCTTGCAATAAATATTTTGTTACTATCCTGCCGTGAAATTCATATATAACAAAACCTACCTATAAACAAAAAATGTTAATGTCAATATAATATCCTAATTGTCCTACCTACAGAGGATAAATAAAGTATTTAGTAATAAAATAGTACGTAAAATAGTATATATTTGAAAATGTTCATACTCAGGCCAATGAAGTAGCAGGATGCTTGTCTCCTCCTTATAAAACCACAGTGAATGGCGCTACTGCAAAAGCACACACGAGGCAGGTGTGCGGAGAAGCCGGCCACGCAAACACTGCTCGTTTGCTGCTGGTGATGTCATTTTGTGAAACAGTGACCAAGTCTTGGCAAAGTTCCAAACAAAACAAAGTGCAGCTGTCCCTCTGCACAGACAGTAGTGCATTACTGGAAAATGCTATGGATATTCAAGCTTTGCAAATCATCCTTGTACGTTGTGTCCATATGTAAAACAGATTTAGAATATAGGCTCAGAAAATTATCAACATGGTTTTTAAGAAACACATAGTACAGTTTTAGATTTACAGAATAATTCAGCAAATACAGAGTTCCATATGCCCACCCCCCAGTTTCCCTATTATTAACATGTTGCATTAGAGTGGTACATTTGTTATGAGTGAGAACCAATACTGATAAATTATTATTATTATTATTATTATTTTTTTTCCTTTTTTCGTGTCCGGCAACGGGATCGCAACCCTCGGTGTTGCGCCCGCACCTCGCTCAGCCAGTGAGCGGGAACCAGTCTGTATGTGGGATCCGAACCCTCGGAGGGAGCGCCGCCGTGCTCACAAGCGGTGCACTGTAGCAGAGCGGCGCACTGTAGCAGTGCGCCACCGGGCAACCACTGGATCTTTTTACTGTTTCCATAGTTTTGCCTTTTCCAAAATGTCATGTAGTTGGAAACATACAGTATATAGGCTTTTCAGACTGGCTTTCACTTAGTGTATGCATTTAAGGTTCTCAATAGCTCCTTTCTTTTTATTGCTAAACCATATTCCATTGTATGGATTACCAAAGCTTGTTTATCCATGCACCTCCTTCGGGACACCGTGGTTGCTTCCAGTTTTAGGTTATCATAAATAAAGCTGCTATACACATCTGTGTGCGGGTTTTTGTGTGGACATTAGTTGTCAATTCACTTGGGTAAATAGCCAGGAGCACCATTGCTAGATCATATGGTAAGACTGTTTAGTTTTGTAAGACACTGCCAAGTTATCTTCCAAAGTGTCTGTACCATTTTGCATCCCCACAAGCAATGACACAGTTCCTGCTGCTCCACATCCTGGCTGGCATTTGGTGTTGTCAGTGTTTTAGATTTTAGCTGATCTAATAGGTAGGCAGCGGTATCCTGTTGTTCTAATTTCCAATTTCCTAACGACATATGATAGTGTCTTTTCACATGCTTTCTTGTCATGTGAAAAGACACCATCATTGTAAGATGACGTGTCTATTCACATCTTTTGCCCGTTTTTAAGTTGGGTTGTTTATTTTCTTATTTTTGAGTCGTAAGAGTTCTTTGAATATTTTGGAAACAAGTCCTTTATCAGATATGTGTTGTATTAGTCCGTTTCTGTGTGAATTCTTGAAACTGGGTGATTTATAAAGAAAAGGAAATTTATTGCTTACAGTTTCTGAGGCTGGGAAGTCCAAAGTCGAGGGAACACACCTGATGACAGCCTTGGTGGTGGCAGCAATAACAGCAGAGTGTCACATTGCGAAGGTGAAGCTGAGAGCGTGAGAGACCAACCTCCTCATCTACTCTCCTTTTAAATCCCTGAGAACCAGGCCCCTGACTGCCGTTATTTTTTATTTATTTATTTTTTTTGTCTTTTGTCTTTTTCCGTGTCCGGCAACGGATCGCAACCCTCAGTGTTGCCCCCGTACTGGACCGGGGACCGGCAATGGGATCGCAACCCTCGGTGTTGCTCCCGCGCCTCGCTCAGCCAGTGAGCGGGAACCGGTCTGTATGTGGGATCCGAACCCTCAGGCGGGAGCGCTGCCACACTTCCCAAGCGGTGCACTATCCAGTGCGCCACCGGGCCGGCCCGTGACTGCCGTTATTAACCCATTCACTACGGCAGGTCCTAGAATCTAATCACCTCTTCAAGGCCCCACCTCTCAGCTACCGTAATAGGGTTTCCCACCCTCTTAACAGTCACAGTGGGGGTCAAGTTTCTAATACATAAAACTTGGGGGACACAATTCATGCCCCAGGGACAGTCTACTGCATGTGTCTTTCGAGTATTTTCTCCCTGTCTGTGGCTTGTCTCTTCACCCTCTCAACAGTGTCTTTCATAGAGCAGGAGTTTTTAATTTTAATGAAGGTCAACCTATCTAGTTTTTCTCTCATGCATCAGGCTTTTGGTGTTGTTTCTAAACACTCATCACCAAATCCAAGTTAACCTAGATTTTCTCCTGTGGTATCTTCTAGAAGTTTTATTGTTTTGTATTTTACATGTAGGTCAAAGGTCCATTTTGAGTTCATTTTTGTGAAAGATGATTTTTCACCTCCATGAATGCCCAGGGAGTCAGTTAAAATCGTGCAGGATACAGGACAGTTTTTCCTTGTGTGGGATTGTCCTGTGCAATTATTATCCCAGACCCCACCCACTAATTGCCATTGCCACCTTCTCCACCATCATCGTGACTGCAAAAAAATCCTCAAATACAGTGTCAACCTTGGGGGTGATACTGTCCTTCTGAAAATCATTTCCCCTCAATATAGGAAACAGGGGACAGAGAGACAGAGGTGCTCAAGTGAGCTGTTTCAAGGTCACTGTGGTTGCTATGAGTTTTACCACAAATGCATCCATCCTAAATGATTTTCATTTTGCTTTGTTTTGAATTTCATATCAGTACAGCTCGCTTTTTAAAAAGTTGGCAGGCTTTTGAGATTCATTCATAATGATGGATGCTGCTGTTTTTCATCCACTATTCACTGATGTGTAGTCTTCCACGTTTTATTTACCTTGTTGTATAAATGTTGCAGGCACTTGGCTTGTTTCCAGTTGTATTCTAGTAGGAGCAATGCCACTCTGAATGGCATGGTGCCCATTGTACATACCTCCTGGGGACCCGTGCAGGAGTTTCTATAGACCACGGTTTCTCAACCTCAGCACTATAGACATTTGCTAGATAA